GCCTTCAAGTCTGCATTTCAGCATCTTAACCACTTGAGCCTATGTTATGGCTTTAATATAGTCTCATTTGTTGTTGTATTGTTCTGTGGGCATCTAGCACGCGTCTGTATATATTATTTTCATTTCCTAGAGCTCCCTGTGTCATTTCTGGGTAGTGCTAGGAATCACCGGGAATTCAGTGGTAAGAACTTCCTGTAAGTAGACAAGGCCATGTGTTTCTTATTAATTTTTCTCCCAGGATGCTGGCCCCCTACAACCCTCTCGCTGGCTGCCACGCTGGCACCCATGACAGCCAATGAGAAACCATGCTTACAGGGGCCCCGTCCTCTTTCTGAAAAGTTTGGCAGGCACCAGTGGAAGCAAAGCTATTTTTGGGCAGGAACGCACAGGAACGGAGTTCCGGCTGGCTCCCGAGTAGGCCACGCCCAGCAGGAACTCATTAGCATAACAGGCCACACCCAACAGCAGGAACTCATTAGGATTGGCTACATTAGGGGGTGTGTGGCCTAACATGCAAAGGAGTTCCTGCTACAAAAAAAGGCCCTGGGTTTTGACAACTAACAAGGTAAACAGAATAAGAAGCAAAAGGTGGGTGTGGCTGGATGACCACACTAATGTGCTAATGAGCTGTGCTGTCAGGGGTGTGGCCTAATATGCTAATGAGTTCCTGCTGTTGGGTGTAGCCTATTATGCTAATGAATTCATGCTGGGCTTTTTCTACAAAAAGAGCCCTGATCCGTGGAAGTATCGATGGGCACCGTGGCACCCAGAAGTGCCACGTTGGAGCCCTGCCTTAGTCTGTATATCAGTGGAGGCGTTCTTGGAGGCCACCCCCCTCCACTATTAACCCTTTGATGTGTTTTCCGCTGCAGGAAATCGCTTTTGCTTACCCACCTCCTGCTCTCTGGATAGGGTAGGCGGTGTGTTTAAATAGATAACAGGCCCCGTCTGGGGAGCTTCACATCTGCCGTCCAAGTCAGCCAGCAGTTTGCACGATTCCCACCCCCCTCCCCACCGCCGCTTGCTTTCAAGGACACACGAAATCCCGACGCGTTTTGGAGTTCACAGGCCCGAAGCTGGGAATCCATACCGCGGCTCCCTGCAGGCGTGGACTCTTGTGAACCGGGGCCCCGCCGTTGACCTCGCTAATAGATTTAATTGGCCGAGCGTCTCAAAGCAGGACGGCTCTGCTCGTTCCTACATTTCCCTCGATGTGCTTTTAGAGTTTTGGCACCGGCGTATTTATGTTCCGTTCGCTTCCAACGCAGGCCCTTTGCTGCAGCCAGTCTATTAATTTTTAAACTGCCTGGAGCTACAGATCACGATGGGTGGCTGGCCGTGGCGGTTCCAGCTCCAAACAGCTGGGATAAGCGACCTGTTCCATTGAAACAAAACCCCAGCGGTCTCCGGTTTCTCAAGGAGGCTTAATCCTCTCTCTTCAGGCCTGTCAGCACAAGAGAGCCCTGCCTTGTGAGTGTCTCTCCTGCCTCCCGCTGCATGACATCTGTCCAGCAGACCTAAGCGTCCCAGCCTTGGCTTCTAAGCCGCGGCGGTTGCGCCTGGTCTCGCGACCTGAGGCCGGTGAGGGCTCACGCACGCGAGGCGTTTCCTCGCAGTCCGGCCGCGATTTTGCAGAGGACAGTAAATCGAGACGTTATGTAAGCAGTGTATCTTGGAATGCAATCGCCCCTTTGAAATTCCATTCATTAATGGGCTTTTAATTGAAGGAATATGTATTTATGGAAGCAAGATACTTTGGTAGGTTCCCACTGTAGTTGGTTTATGTCACTGGATAGGCTAGACTGCAAGCAGATGGAAGAATTTTCTTTTGTCGATAGAAGAAGAAGAAGAGGAGGAGGAGACTGGATTTATACCCTGCCCTTCACTGTAAGTCTCAGAGTGGCTTACAAACTCCTTTCCCCGCCCCTCCCCACAAGAGACACCCTGTGACGTAGGTGTGAGATAGATAGACAGATAGACAGACAGACAATCCGGGGCAGTTTAAAGGTAAAGGTAAAGGTTCCCTTGCTCGAAAGCCAGTCGAATCCGACTCTATGGTTGCGGTGCTCATCTCCATTTCAAAGCCGAAGAGCCAGCGCTGTCCGAAGACGTTTCCGTGGTCATGTGGCCGGCATGACTAAACACCAAGGTGCACGGAACGCTGTTCCCTTCCCACCGAAGTGGTCCCTATTTATCTACTTGCAATTTTTTGCTTTCGAACTGCTAGGTTGGCAGGATAGGTTGAGATAGACAGACAGACTATCCGGGGCAGTTTACAGTGAGCTAAAATAACGCAACGCTAAAACCAAATAGCAGAACTTCAGAACAATGAAAAAGAGCCCAAAATCTGTAAAAGTAAACCTATTGTGCAAAGCATTCAGTGTTCACTCTGTACGGATTACCTCAGCAGCCTGACGACAGCCATGTTGGCGGTGGTATCCCCATGGGGGGGAATGTCTGGGAGAAAGAGCTTGCATAAAGGCCTCATGGAGAATTTGTGGCCATGGGGAGATATGAACTGGGGTTGCCAGACGCCTAGTCTGGGCGGGGGGGTTCCCCTGATTTTCGGGGCTTCAGTCGGTCAGCTGACCAGCGGGGGAAGCCCCACCCCAAACAGCCATGTCATGCATCAGCATCGTCAACCCTCTGGTGTCCCGCAGAAGTGATGTCATCACGCTGTGCTGTGGTAACCATAGAGTTTTAGCCAAAGTGCTAGAGTGTCGCCTTACGAGTGCGAAGCTGGGAAATCGGAGAACCTGGTAGACCTATCTGAAGACATGAGCAGTGGCTCACGAAAGCACATGCCTTGCTTTTGTTGTTGTTGTTCAGTCGCACAGTCGAGTCCGACTCTTCGCGCCCCCATGGACCAGATCCCGCCAGGCCTTTCTGTCTTCCGCCGTCCTCTGAAGTTTGCTACAAATGTTGTTAGTCTTGGGTGCTACTGGACTCTTGCTCTTTTTTACTGGCACACCTATTGTTATACTGCCATTTTTTAAAAAATGAAGACGCTCTATTGGCCTGGGAGAGGGGGAGTTGACTGCCGCTGGAGGACAGGGAAGTTGTGGGGAAACCGACCGTGCAGAACCCCCCGTTGTCGCTGTGCGGTGCCGGCAGCCGTACCTGCAAGGGGGGGAACCACACAACCCCATGTGGAAACCACCGTATTCACGGAGGAGATATTAGTCAGTTGTTGTTAACTATCATGGTGGGGTTGCCAGCTTCCAGGTGGGGCCCGGAGATCTCCCAGAATTAACAACTGATCTCCCATCGACAGAGATCCGTCCCTCTGAAGAAAACGGCTGCATTGGAGGGTGAGCTCTATGGCATCACAAACCTGCTGAGCTCCACCCCCCCCCAGCTCCACTGTCACGGGCTGGGGTGCCAGTCAAAGGGAGTCCAGAACACGCCAAGGTCAGGAGCCAAGAAGCCAGTGCAAAGTCCAAAAAGCCAAGCCAGGGTCAGGAGCCAGAAACACAGAGCCAAATCCAAATTACTAACCAGAAACGTAGTCCAAAGCCAAGCCGGGGTCAGGAGCCTGGAACACAGAGCCAAGTCCAAAGCCAGGGGGTCCAAAGGTCCAGGTACAAGAGCCGAGCCGGAGTGGATGCTAGCAGCACGAAGCTGACTTGTTGCTTCCACGAAGAGTACTGCCCAGAGTGTGGAGTTAAATGCTGCTACCAATTAGCCAGCTGCACAATTGGCCGGGCTCCTGTTAGAACTCTGGGCTAGCTCAGCGTCTCCCTTGTAGCCTGGCCTCTCTTCACCCGGTGGCTACGTTTTGCCGCAGTCGCTCCCTTAAACGAGTCACATGTGGGGGTGAGTCAGGAGGACTTTCCGCTTGCAGTTCTTCCTTCTTATCTGGGCCAGATGTGAAGACTGCTGTTGCAGGCGCTTGCCAGCTCTCTTCTGCTTCAGAGGGGCCAGCTGTGGTTTGTGCAGGCCCTGTCAGCTCATCCTCATCTATACCCATGACACTCACCTTCCCTAGGCTGCCACCCCCAGGTCTCCAGGAATGTCCCAATCTGGAGCTGGCAACCCTGTCTCATGGCAAAATGGGACCTTCATGTTTGGGTATAACGTACCTCTAAATGACAGCTGCTGGAAGGCACTGGCTTCTGCACCCCTCTCCATGAACCTGTGGTTGGCCCCTGTAGGGAATGGGATAGCAACCTGGATGAAGTGTCCGTCTCATCTGGGCTCTGTTTTGATAGCAGAGCGTCAGCTACAGTGGTCATCGCATCTGTCTGGCATGCAAAAGATTGAAACCCATCCCCCTCCGAACCTTTTCAGTTAAAAGCAGGGGTCATTTAATAGAAAAAGAGGTGTAGGGGCTCATTAGCATAACTAATTTGCATAATTTATTTGCATATACCACACCCCCTGACATCACAAGTGTGTCAGGAGGCAACATCCACCGCTCAGGCTCCACTGGACTGTTTTGGATTGCTTGCTATTGGTTAAAGGTGCCACTGGACTGTTTTGGATGGCTAGCTGTTGGAGGGGGACGCGTAGATCTGCCCTCACAGAGGAGGGAGAGCTTGTACCTGAAGGCGGGCGGGGTCTCTGCAACTTACCTGGCTGCTTCTTGCTCCTCGTGGCCTGAGGGCTGCTGGGAGCAGGGGGCGGGGCTTGTTGCATGTGCCCGCCCCCTGGGCTCCTTACTGCCGGAGCTCCGCTCCTGTGTGCTCCCGCAGGAAATGACCCCTGGTTAAAAGGACCAGATCAGAGGTGTTGTGAAGGACCTTTCTCTGAGATCTGCTGCTGCCGGTCAGAGCAGACAATACCGACCTTGATAGATGAGTGTTCTGGCATAACGTCAGGCCAACATCCCTGTGTTAGTGGTGGGCGGCCTCATCACTCCAGTTGTTTCTTTGGCTGGAGATGGCTTCTGAAGGGCCCTGGGGTGTTGTGCTCGTCCGAACGGTCTCTGGAAGGGCCAGTTTGGTTTCTGTGACACGTGATCTGATCTGGTTTCTCCCCCACCCCCCCATGTCTGACAGGGAGGAATGCATCTTCACCATCGATCCGTCAACTGCCAGAGACCTCGATGATGCCTTGTCCTGCAAGCTGCTTCCTGATGGTATGTAGCATTTTGTATGTAACATCTGTGTGCGCCTCTGTGTATGTGTGTGTTGTCACTTGGGGGTGGGAGGTACCGTCAAGTCTCAGTTGACTCACGGCAGCCCTGTAAAGTTTTCAAGGCTAGAGACATTCAGAGGTGGTTTGCCATTGCTTGGCTCCACAGAGCAACTCCAGACTCCCTCCGTGGTCTGCATCCAAAGACGAAAGGGTGTAAAGCTTAGTTTGTACAGTATATTGTGTTATCCTATGAATACATTTTTGTATTGCTGCAACCTGCATTGTCTATCTGGTCAGACAGGTCAACAACTCAAATGGACTGGGGTCAGTGTGGAAAGGAGGGGGGGCACAGGACTGGCCCCAGCTTATTTTGCACCCTAGGCGAGGATCCCTTCTGGTGCCCCCCCATGCCACGATCAGAGCCCGGTCAGAGCCAGTGGGGGGGCTTTTGGTGGGGGTGCTCTCCTGGCCCTGATGCTGCTGCTTTTGCTGCAGCTGCCAGTCCCCAGCCGCGAGGAAGAGGAGGAGTAGTGCAGGCAGGGAGTAGTTGGCCAAAGAGGCAGCGGGTGGCAGAGGTGGCGGCGGGGGTCACCTGGCTGCAGAAATGCAGGGCTTTTGGCGGTCCGCGGTTGCAGTTTGGCGGCCCTAAGGGCTGGCACGCTCTAGGCGAACGCCTAGTGAGCGAACCGGCCCTGGGGGGGCACCAAGATTGGTCAGTGCTGAGAGCACCAGTGAGCCTTAATCCGCCCCTGCTGCATTGCTCCCATGTTCTGATGTGATCGGGCTAGCCTGGGCTGTCCAGATCAGGCCCTGTGGTCACTTAGTAGCTACCAGGGGTCATTTCCTGCAGGAGCGCACAGGAGCAGAGCTCCGGCAGTAAAGAGCCCAGGGGGCGGGCACATACAACAAGCTCCACCCCCCTGCTCCTAGCAGCCCTCAGTCAGAGCAAGAAGCAGCCAGGTAAGAGCCCCCCCCGCCCCCCGGTCCAAAACAGTCCGGTGGCACCTTTAAGACCAAGTTTTATTCAGGTACAAGCTCTCCCTCCTCTGCGAGGACAGATCTGCACATTCCTCCCCCCCCCTAATAGCTAGCAATCCAAAACAGTCCAGTGGAGCCTGAGCGGTGGGTGTTGCCTTCTGACACACTTCCAGTGACATCAGGGGGTGCGGCATATGCTAATGAGTTATGCTAATGAGTTATGCTAATGAGCTCTTGCACCTCTTTTTCTATGAAACGACCCCTGGTAGCTACTAACGTTTTCTCTCTTCAAATGCACAATCCACCAGGGAAATTAAAATCTTTCAGCGGGCGCTAAACCGGTAAAATGGTGACGGCTTTCCTGCAGGGCTGAGGGTTCTTGGCTCAGTCTCCCAGCGTCTTCCTTGAAAAGCCCTTTCTCTACCTGAGACGCTGGAGAGCTATTGCCAGTCAGGGTGCGACGGTACCGGGGCTCATCGGACCGGGGTTTGCCCCCGCAGAAGGCAGCTTCACAGGTTCCCTGACTCCCCCACTGAAATGTCACCGACTCAGAGCTTGGTCCCAGAGGGCCTCAGCGGGGCTTTGGAGACCGCTGGGAAAACTCTCCTTTTCCACTCGGGGCTGAGTCACTCTCCAGCGATGGGAATGTGTTGAAATGAGGTAAACGGTGACTGTTCCAGCAATAAGCTAAAAAAACCCGAGAACCTATCGTTTTGTTTCACCACCTCCGTATTGTTTCAAAGCCTCCAGGGAGTCGGCTCTTAGTTGAATAAAAGCGACACACACGCGCACACGGCAGTGGGATCGGTGATAGGGCCGCTTTGGTCGAACCAGATCGAGACCAGTATTCCCTCTAAGCTAAGTTTGTGTGAACTAGCTCACAATTTTTTAACCCCCAGCTCACACATTTTTGTCTTAGCTCAGGAAGGATGGCTCCAGAGGAAATTAATTTATGCAGTAGCCCAATCGCTCACTCACAACTTTAGTGCCGATAGCTCACAAAGTAGAATTCTTGCTCACAAGACTCCACAGCTTAGAGGGAACATTGATCGAGACCCCCTTCTCCCCGTGGCTGATCGTTTGACAATGAAACCAGCTGCACAGCTCTGTCGCAAGCCACCTTTTGGATCCTCAGTGCCTCAGAAGGTGTGGTTTGAATAAGCCGACAAACTCAGTCTCCCTTTTGTTATACGCAAAGAGAAGACGGCGACACCTCCTTTCCTTGAGGAGGGGGCGTGCTTAGAGACTCCTCCCGAGTCAAAGTTTCAGAATACTGCAGACGTCCGGTTCCTGTTGGACTTCACTGGGGCCTGTACCAATGTTCCCCCTAAGATGAGTCAGTGTGAGCCAGCTCACAGTTTTTTAGACTCCGGCTCACACGTTTTTGTCTCCGCTCAGGAAGGATGGCCCCAGAGCAAACTAATTTACGCAGCAGCCAAATCGCTCTCTCACAGCTTTAATGCCAGTAGCTCACCAAGTAGAATTTTTGCCCACAAGACCCCACAGCTTAGAGGGGGCATTTGCCTGTACTGTAGGTCTGGGGAGAGCCCGCGACCAGCTCAGCGCACAAGCCCCGCGGCACACTTCTACACTCAACGGCAACATTCTCTCCCATGCTTTGCATCGTGTCGATGCTCCTATCGGGTGGCTTCTGGAGACCAAGCCCTAGGACGAAAGGCCGAGGGACTTGGGGAATGTTTGTTGTGGAGAAGAGGAGGCTGAGGGGGGGGGGAACACACACGATTGCTCTCTTGAAATATTTGCAGGGCTGTCACAGGGCTGTCTACCCTTGCGGTTTATATTTTTGCATACTGCATACGCTTGGGGTCCCTATTGTTTGGCTGTGCTGTAGGAATGCCTGCAGATAAATCAGGCTTCCTAGATAAGAGCTGCTAACAAGAAGAATATTGCATAAGAACATAAGAGACACCAATGTTGGATCAGGCCAAAGGCCCCTCCAGTCCAACACTCTGTGTCACACAGGGGCCAGAAATACCACGTGCCATCAGGACGTCCTCCAGTGGGGCCAGGACATTAGAACCCCTCCCACTGTTGCCCTCACCCCCCAGGCACCAAGAAGACAGAGCATCCCTTGCCCCAGACCGAGAGTTCCTATCTAGACCTTGTGGCTCATAGCCACTGATGGACCTCTGCTCCATATAAGAACATAAGAACATAGGAGAAGCCAGTGTTGGATCAGGCCAATGGCCCATCCAGTCCAACACTCAGTGGCCAGAAATACCAGGTGCCATCAGGAGGTCCACCAGTGGGGCCAGGACACTAGGAGCCCTCCCACTGTTCCCCCCCCCCCCAAGCACCAAGAACACAGAGCATCCCTTGCCCCAGAGAAGAAGGTCTTCCTTTTATCCGTTCTAACCCGACCGCTCAGCAATTTCTTGTATTGTGAGAAAGGGAGAAAAGTACCTCTTTCTCTTCCTGATCTATCCCATGCATAATGTTATAAACCTCAATCATGTCACCCCTCAGTCTTCGTTTCTCCAAGGGGAAGAGCCCTAAGCGCTTTAACCTTTCCTCATAGGGAAAGTGTTCCAACCCTTTTATCATTCGAGTTTCCCTTTTCTGCACTTTTTCCAAAGCTACGTATAATATTCTTTTTAAGGTGTGGTGACCAGAACTGCACACAGTATTCCAAATTGAGGTCACACCATTGATTTATATAGGGGCGTTATGATATTTGCTGATCTGTTTTCAATACCCTTCCTAATAATCCCCAGCATAGCATTGGCCTTTATTGCAGTCACACACTGTCTTGATATTTTCAGTGAGTTACCTACTACAATTCCAAGATCTCTCTCTTGTTCAGTCTCTGCCAGTTCAGACCCCATCAATGTGTATTTATATTTAGGATTTTTGGCTCCAAAAATGCAAAGCTGTGCAACCCAGCTGTGGGTACCATTTCAGGGAGCACCAGAGCAGGCATGTAAGGGCCAGGCAGGGATGGTATGCCAGATGCACCGGGACCCGCCCGTCACCCCGGCAGCAGCTTAAGCCAACCCAGGAGTCCGGCGGAAGAGTCCCGGTAGCTGTACAATTCAGTAGACACTTGAGAGAATAGGACTGATGGGGCCAGAAATATTCTCTGCACCGATGGAAGAGCTCCTTGCATGGGAAGAATGTGCTCGAGGAAAAGCCCCTCTGCTAGCAGAACGCACCCTCAAGCTCCGATGGGCTATGTAGCATTAACCGTTATCCTAGCTGTTTATGTCTCGAGGATGATCGGGGGCCCGGAGACCAATAAGCCCTAGGAGGAAAGGCCAAGGGACTTGGGAATGCTCAGTCCGGAGAAGAGGAGGTTGAGGGGGGACAGGATGGCTCTCTTGAAGTATTTGCAGGGCTGTCACTCGGAGGAGGGCAGGGAGCTGTTCCTTGTTGGCAGCAGAGGAGAGGACTCGCAAGAATGGGTTTATATTCAGGGCGGGAAGGGACCGGCTGGATCTTAGGAAAAACTTTTTGACAGTCAGAGTGGTGCCACAGTGGAATCAGCTGCCTCGGGAGGTGGTGAGATCCCCCTCCCTGGCAGTCTTTAAGCAGTGTCTGGACAAACGCTGGTCAGGCATGCTCTAGCCTGTCCCTGCATTGAGCAGGGGGTCGGACTGGATGGCCTGCGTGGCCCACTTCCGACTGTGTGATTCGATGTTTCTACGTAGCCCCACATCGAAGTATTGATGCCCCTCATTGTCAGCCCCACTGCCTCGTTTGCAGGAAGGCACCCCGGACTCTGCAGTTTCAGAGGGGAGCTATGTTGGAGGAGAAAAGGTAGCTTAGAGTCCGGCATGGAGATGCATCTGACGAAGAGAGCCGGTGTTTCTCGAAAGAGAGCTAGTTTGGCGTCGTGGTTAAGTGCGCAGACTCTAATCTGGGAGAACCGGGTTTGATTCTCCACTCCTCCACTTGCACCTGGCTGGATGACCTTGGAAAAGCCGTAGTTCTGATAAGAGCTGTCCTTGAAAAAGAGCCGTTTCTGCCAGAGCTCTCTCAGCCCCACCTCCCTCACAGGGTGTC